AAGTGCCCATCCCCCACTGAGGACCTTAATTGTCTCTTTGGTCTAATAACTGAGGGTCTTTTAGTTTCCTATCCTTTCTCCTGCCTACCTTTGCTCTTCTAGAATGGGTCTCTTGGAGGCTGCAAGTCTCAAGGGATGCTGTGGGGATGCCAAGGCCAACCCATAATGTACTGGTAGAAAGAGGCTGTTTGTTTACATGTAAAGAACATGTAATCCAAGTTATCTGTGTTTCCTGGTTATCTTTATGCCCCTTTGCCAAATGAGATGCTTTTCTACACTCAAAAGTCCTTTCCAGAACCCTTTTCTTAATTAATGGCCTGGACACATCCCTTTGTCAGGAGGATTGCTGCCCTGGGAAGCACACTTCCTTGATCTGCTATCCCTACACCATTCCTTTAATGTGTGCCTGAACTCTCTCCCTCTCTTTTCCTCTACACTTACTCCATGGCTGAATCCTTGAGTGGTTCTCATGTATGCTCTAGGTCTGGGCTTTGCTCTAATATTGGTTCCTCTTGCTTCTGGATTTTCCCATCATCATTTTTTTCTGACATTTTCCACTAAGCACACAAATACATTTTTTTCTTTCCTTAAAAAAATAACAGCCCTAACCAGATATGGTGGCACATACCTATAATCCAGTACTTAGGATGTGGAGGCAGGAGGACTGGAAGTTCAGCTACATGGCAAATTTTAGGCTAGCTGGGGCTATGTAAGACTCTGTCCTTGAAAAATAAAGAAGGAATGAAGGCCTTCTTAACCCCAGACACCCCAAATCAACAGTGTACTTTTATTCACTTCTTTCCACGCAAATCATACACAAAATGGACTTGACTTGCCAGCTTTATTTCCCTGTCTTTTGTTCAGAATTTAGCTCATACCTATCAGACTTGTGATCTTAGTTCTATACTATACTTTAAAAGTTTGGTTTAAAATAAAACCTGCATTTTTCCAGAGGATTTTTATTACAGTATACTTCTGGATCCAGGATGCTGTAATCCATAAGAACACAGCCAGCCAGGACTTCACTGGAACAGCCAATCACCTCCAACCCCTGAGCAGGTTCCTGTCACTTCCAGGACTATACTTCCTCTGGCAGCAGTACCGAATGTGGACCCAGCTAGAGACTCTGGACTATACCTTTGTGTTTTCATTTTCACTAGGCAACTTCCCTGGCCTAATGTGATCTCTGTCCATCCACTGTGGCTGCTGACTAAAATTTAAGCCACCGGTTCATTCATCTTCACATGGTACTCTCTCCTCATACAACTATAACATATTTCACCTCTTATCCTCCACCACCTTCACTTACTTACCCTAACTTTTCTGTACTTACCCTAACTTTCTTGTTCTGGTGGATACTTGGCTATTTCCCCTGGGCTGTTTCCCTTGCATGCTTTTCCTAAAGAAGATCTGTTTGTCTTACTATGGTTCAAGGCCTAGGAATGTACAATTCAACCTTCCTCAATACTTTCAAATAGCTGTTTTTTTTTTTTTTTAAAGAAGCAAGCAAGCAAACCATTATCACCACATTAACAATGACAAAAACATGGTTCCAAGGGTTGGAAAGATGACTCAGTCAGTAAAGTGCTTTTTCTGACAAGTGTGAAGAACAAGGTTCAATTACCAAAAATTGTTAAAAACAAAACAAAATAAAAACAAGCAAACAGACATAGTGACACATACTTTTCGGCCCAATGCTGGGAGGTGGAAATAGATGGATCTCTAGGGCCTGATACCTATCCTTCCTAGACTATCCTTCCTGACCTCTAAGGCCAGTGAGAGACCCTGCCTCAAAATATAAAGTGGACAGTGTTCCTGTGACACTTGAAGTTTCCTGAGGTTGTTCTCTTGGTCTCCACATGCATTTGGTTATACCCTCACACAAGCATGCACACCTGTACACACACACACACACACACACAGAGAGAGAGAGAGAGAGAGAGAGAGAGAGAGAGAGAGATCCTTAAATCTTTATAAACTACTTGTTTGCTATATCTCTATACATATTACCTTCAAATCTTCTAAGGTTTTAACTTACGATTTTTAACAACCTGGTCATTATCTTCATCTGCCCATTTCTGTCCACAAATGGGAACTTTGACATAGGATTGTTAACTAAATTTCCATTGTTAACCTTTTACTTTCCACAAACATTTGCTAATGTCATCTTCTGCTTGGTTTAATTTACTGTTGATTATATTACCAATTGACTTCAGCTTACACATATCTTCTAAGCTGAGCATATGTTCTAGATATTTCTATGCAAGTACCTCATGGAATTTCAAACTCAAAACTTGAATTCATGATCTTCTTAACAACTTTATTCTGTTTCTGTTCTGAATTTTTTTTTTTTTTTGTTACATAGAATCAATGCCTATCAGTTGCACACCCTAAAATTTGGGAGATTATTCCAGATTCCCCTGTATCTTTTGGTGGCCTTCTTCCCTCAGTAATTGCTTCCTAACTTGCTCCTGTTACCCATAAACTCAGTTTCTGTGGTCTAATCTCTGCAGAGAGTAAAACTGGTAGTTCTAGGATAAGTATTCCTAGGTTGAAATCACAGATTCTAATTTATACCAGGTAGTTGTTGGCAAGTTTCTTAAGCTTTTTGTGCCTTGTTTTCTCATCTCCCAAATGGCATATAAAATTTCTTTTTTCATATAGTTACTAGGACAATCAATTGAGTTATGTTTTCTAGTTAGTTTTTGACAACTTGACATCAAGTTGAGTCACTTAATTACAGAATTGACTCCATCAGTTTTTTCTGTAGGTGTGTTTGTGGAAGCATTTTCTTGATTGGTAGTTGATATAAAAGGGCCCATCCCACTTTGGGGCGGTTGCCATCCCTCGGCAGGTGGACTAGAGTTATATAATAAGAACAGTAGCTGAACAAGCAGAGGAACAAGCCAGCATTTCTCTGTGGTCTCTGCTTCATGCCCTGCCTTGGCTTCCCTTGATGATAGACAGTGAGCCAAATAAACTGTTTACTGTTTCCTAGTCCAGGCTGATTTTAATCATGGAGTTTATCCCAGGAAGAGAGAAGTAACTAGGGCAATATGTGCGACCCTGAGAACACTGTAAGAACTTAATAGTTTTTACTGGCATGGATGACACAAATTGGGAAGGCTGTCTGAAGGGTTCCCACAAGGATAAACACCTGTAGGAAAGGTATTTGAAGGATATTTACTTTTTTTTTTTTTTTTTGAGATAGGGTCTCACTATGTATTTCTGAGTGTATACCAGGCTGGCCTTGAACTCACAGGCATCCACCTGCCTCTGCTTCCCAAGTGCTGAGCTTAAAAGTGTGCACTACCATGCCCAGCTTGTATATCTATTTCTTAACTAGACTCTCAATCAGTCCTTTATTCAGTTGCATGCCATGTCCCGACCTTCGAAGATACCCAGTGTTTCTAATTACTAGAATTTATAGGTTCTTGGGAACAAATTAATTTTTAATTTGCTTCAGTCTTTCCTTTTGTAACCAATTAGTTTTTTTTTTTTTAATGTTTTACACGTTCACGATCCAATTGGTAGCTGGTGTTACATGTAGCTACTGGGTCACTAAAATGTGACTGACTAGTGCTACACAATCCGAAATAACATTTTGGCTGTATCAACTTAAATAAAGCTTATTTAAATCGATTTCACGTTTATTTTAACCCTTTTAATGTGACTGTTAGAAAAACCCCTCTTACACAGATTATATTTTTATTGGACGATGTTGCTATGTACCTTACACAGGTTTTACCCTTCTCTTCTGATATCCTGTTTTCTATCCTCTCTTTAGTCTTGTAGGTTTATACACTTTTTCATTTCTGGAGGTGTCTAGGAAAAAGCAAAAAAAAAAAAATACACATGTTACACTCTCCATGTTTAACTGGAAGTTCTCCCTACACTTTTCAGAATCCACTTTTGAGATCTACAATCTCACTGCTTTATGTCTGGTCAGCAACTGCACGTTCAGCTAAAATAAATTACTGCCAGTTCTATGAACAAGGCAGGACGCTGTGGACTTTCCTAACTTAGCTTTCTTTGCTTGCTTTTCCTGAACTCCCCTTCTAACCCCTCTCACCTGTATGCCTATTAATTAAAGAGTTTAAATTTCATCTCAGCAGAGCCTTTCCTCCCCCCTCTCTCTTCCTCTCTCTCTCTTTCTCCAGTTGAGCTGACTGTAGAGTTCAAAATTTTGTTTAGCTACCTACCAGTTTCTCAGAGGAACCCATTTGATTGACCACACCGTGTAATGCTAAATTCAGATTTTGATGTGTAGTTTAAAGCTAAAAGAGCATTTGTTAAAGGAATAGAGACAGGTGGCATATAGCCAAGGTTTTGTAACAATTGATGAGTGTGGCTGAAAAAGTTTCTTAAGAATGGTTGTTCTAAGCTGTCTTTGTTTGTTTGTTTGTTTGCCTGGTTTTTGACAGGTGAGGATGAACCAGAAATTTTCCAGGTAGAAGAAACAGGATGAACAAAAGTCCACTTGAAACCAGAAAATTGGTAGCAAATAATGCGTCATCAAGTTTCTAAAGAGCATTGCTAAGACTAGATCATGCAGGACCTTGAGGTCAGAGAAAGAAGTTTGATGTCATTCTGAAGGTAATGGTAGGTTTTGGAAGGCTTTAAGCTATGGCGAGCGCTTAAGAGTGCTAAATTTTGGTTTTATTGCCCTTGGTTGCAGATGGAGTGTGGAAGTGAAATGTATGAATGGAAGTGAGTTCCTCCCACAAACGAGGAAAGGCTTTGGGGGTGGGTGGTGAGCAGGGATGGGGAGAAGTGCAAAACAGTCAGGTGTAGGTACTAGGATGCCCAGGCCTGGGCGACAGCCGGACGCAGGGTGAGCTGGAAGGTAGAAGCTTGCGGTTGGCGCACACCATACTACTCTGGGGGCGCTTTGTCGGAGCGGAGGGCACGCTCGCCTTGTCCCTCGCGCGCCGCCGTCCGCGTAGCCTGCGGGTCGGTGTGAGCCGGCAAGCGCTGCGGTTCCGGTTCCGGTTCCGATCTGGGCGGTGCGGTAAGCAGCCATGGCGTATTCCACTGTGCAGAGAGTGGCGCTGGCCTCGGGCCTCGTTTTGGCCGTGTCGCTGCTGCTGCCCAAGGCCTTCTTGTCCCGCGGGAAGAGGCCAGACTCGCCGCCGAGCCCCGAAGGTGAGAGCCGCCGGGTCGCAGGCAGTCTTGGCCTCCCAGACCCACTCCCTTCCCCTAAGTGGCTTGCGTGTCATCTTGTTACTTGTGCCCGAACTTAGAGTAAGTAGGTTTAGCCTTTCTGCTCTGCGTCTGTAGGCACCTTAGTTGGTAGTGGAGTTTCATCTTGGTTTTGGGCGCTCACTGTTTCAGCCTCTTGTTGCCTCTTTGAGCAGTTTGAGCTGGGATTTGTGGTGCACGCCTATAATGCTAACCTTCCAGAGGCAGGATAATCACTAAGTTCAAGGCCAGCCTGGTCTGCTTAATGAATTCCAGGCCAGCCAGGGCTACATAGTAAGACCCCATCTCAAAACAACAAAAACATCTAGATTTTAATAATTAAAAAAAAATTTTTTTTGTTTTGTTCCTGAAGTAGAGTTAAACAAGTTCCTGTATTCCTCATGCCTGTTAATTTTTGTTTTTTGGCATGAGTGTGTTGTTTCAAAATCAGCCCCTTTGACTACTACATTCTGGCAGTTTTACAGAATCTGTAAATGCATGGACATGAATGCTGGGAGAAGGGACTGGAACAATTTGCTATTGTTCACAAAGTTCTGCTGTTAACTTTGTCTTGTGAATAATCCCTGTAATATCCTTGAGCCATGTGAACCTTCTGATTTCAGCCTGTTGGTTGCTGGACAGCTCCCTTTGAACTGTAATCCTCTTTGAATTTGTGCATATTGGCTGTCTCCATCCTCCAGGAGCGTTAGAGATTAAAAATACTATAAATGCAAAACGCCATGCTCCAGGGGCTGAAGGCAGGTTGAGCACATTATTCTGCCCACAGAATGTGTTTGATGAGCTGTGCTTGTAAAGTTGTCATTTCCCCCCTTCTATCATTACAAAATGCAAAAAGTTTTGCTCATTTTTTTTTCCTATCTGTGGTTTTTGTCTTGAAAAAGAGTAAAACTGTCATGACCGTGAGCAGTGAAGAATTTAAAAACCTCTTTTTACCTGGTTGAAATATCGTAAAGAAGTGCTGTTGAATGTGAGTGGAAGACATTCCTACTTCACAGTGTTGTAATGGGGATAGAGTGCATTGTAGACGAGACTCTCCTTTGAGAACCCAGGGACTGGTGGGCAGTGTTCCCGTCTGTGGGTGTTGCCTTTTCCATTTTCTTCATTCCTGAAATGCTCATCTCTTGCTACCTTTCATCATTCAATTTTCTGCTCAGATGTACCCTTCTTAGACTTTGCCTGCTGACCCCAGTTAAAGTAAAGCTTCCCTCAGGACCACTTTAAAGGTAGTTTTAACTAACAGTTACGGTACATCCTTCACATGTCATACACACAGTGTTCAGACACTCACCGAATTCCACAGAACAGGAGTCAAATCCTTGCCTGGTTTAGTAGAGGAAAACAGATGTGTTACTAGGTATGTACCAAAGTGTTGTTATTCATTCTGGCCTGCACCTGGAACAGTGGAGATGTGCAAATGCAACAGTCTGTTATAACCTAACAGAGGTTTTATAGAGAAGTTTCTTCTTCCGCCCCTCTGAATCTAATGCATCTACCATACAATTTGTTTATTTTAGCACACAAGTCAATTTTTTTTTTGCATATCCACTGTTGTGTAGCCATTAGCCCAATATGTCTTATAACATGTCATCACCTTCTAAAGGCAATCTGTACCTTTTTGTTGTCACCACACTCATTTCTCCATTGTTAGATGACTCCAGTCATCTTTTTCTGCATCTGTAGGATCATCTATACCCTTCTTGCTGGCTTCTTTAAACTAGTATATCTCAAGATTAATTTATTTTCTAGCGAGTACTTCATTCCTCTTAATGGCTGAATAATAGTCCATTGTGTTGATAGATCACATTTTTACTGATCTCTTTGTAGTTGATGGATATTTGGGTTGTTTTACCTTTCAGCTCTTAGGAATAATGCTACCATTTGTTTAAAGATTTCTGTGTTGGCATACGTGTGTGATTGGAACTAAGAGTGTGATTTCCTGGTCCTATTGTTGCATTTTACTTTTTGAGAAATCACCAGATAGTTAATAAAGTGACCTTTCCACTTTACAGGCCTACCAGCAGTCTATTAAGGTTCTGATTTCGCTACATTTTACCAACTGTAGGGTCAAGGTTGAAATTACTGTGGCCATCTTGGGTTATAATGACCATGATTGCCCTTGAGTAATGCTAGTGAACTTCCTGGCAGGTAGTAGACAAAAGCTTAGACTGGTGTGTGGAACTATATGAGCAGAGCCTGGTGCTGCTGAGAGTGTGCATGCCATCTTTGGCATTAGCTTGAGTCAGAGTCAGACATGGTGTGTTCCTGGATTTGGAGAAACATCATTTCCTGGTGGTTACAAAAGCTCCCTTCTTCTGACAAGGATAATGGAGAGTCACCAGTCTTTTTTGCTGTCTTGACAACCACATGTGTGTCAGTAAGTCCCAAATTAATGACATTGCAGTCCTGGGTCTGTCTACCTTTCTTTGGTCTCATGGGACTTCACAGGTGGTATAGACACTGGGCTAGATTTTTTCTATCTCTCTGCTAACTGATGGCATTAATGAATGTGTGTGTTTGCTTTTTCTGTATCTTCTGTAGAGAAACATCTACTCAAGTCTTTTATCTTTCATGAGTGGGGAGGTTGTCAATTGGTTAAGTTGTACATGTTGCTACATGCTACACGTGCTCGTACATTTTCTTCTATTCAGTGTGTTGTGTTTACTTTTTTCAAAAGAAGTTTTAAATTTTCACCAATTTCAGCTTTTTTCTTTTGTTGCTTTTCATGTCAGATATGTCTAAGACAAATCATTGTCTTATGAAGATTTATTCCTACTTTGCAAGATCTATTGTTTATGTTTTGGGCCTTTTTGAAGTTTTTTTTTTTTCTTTTTTTTGGCATATGATAGGAAAGAGTTCAACTGCATATAGCTGTTCTAGCACCATTTATTGAAGAGACTGCTCTTTCTCATTCAGTTGTTTTCGACACCCTTGTGAAAACTCAGCCAGCTATAAACATGAGTTCATACTTATATTCTCCATTCTGTTCCAGTAGGCTATACATTGCTTTTTGGAAACCAGGAAGTTTCAGTCCCTTAAGTTTTTTCTTTTGTAAGATGGTTTAGGATTTCTTTGTTTTGTGACCAGCATTTCAATGTTAATTATTGACCATTTCATTGGTTCCTGATAGAAAACAATAAAAACAAAGAGCCAAAAGTTAGACGAGATTTTGCTGGAATGTGTTGAATCAGTTTTGAGAATGTTGTCTTACCAATGTTAAGCTTTCAGTCTGTGAGCACAGGTTTTTATTTATCTAAATCCTTTTCTTTTGAAGAACTTTTAGCTTTTAGCATTTAAGCCTTATTTTGTTAAATATACCCCTATATTCTTTTATGCTATATTGTGAATTGAATTATTATTTTTATTTTGAGATTGTTCCCTGCTAGACCATAAATACATGATGCTTATGTATTAAGCCTGTATTCTGCCACTTGCTGACTTGTGTGTTAGCTTTTTGAACATAATCATTTTGTCTTCAAATGAGATACTTTTATTTTTTGTTCTGATCTACATTCTTTTGTTTCTTTTCTTGCTTAACTGGACTAACTGGAGTCTGGTACCAGTATAGACTAGACATGATAAGTGCCTTTATTCTATATTGTTTCTGATCGTAAGAAGAATTTTCTTGTACCCTTAAATATAGTGTGGGTAAGAGATGACTCAGTTGTCTTTTATCAGACTAAGAAAATTTCCTTCTGTTTTTAGTTTGTTGAATGTTTTTGGTCATGGATTGAATACTGATTTTTACCAAATGCCCTTTTTACTGCCAAGATAATTGTGTGGTTTGCTTTTAATTCCATTGATATGGTATATACATTAATTGGTTTTTAAATAATAAACCAACCTTGCATTCTTTGGCTGAAATGAAGAGGCAACTCTAAAGACTCTCTCTCCCTCTCTCCCTCTACCTCTCCCACTCCTTCCCTCCCTCCCTCTTTCTCTCTCTCTCTCTCTCTGTCTTTTTCTGTTCTTTTTTAACTTTTGAGGACTAGGACCTGACTTGAGGTTCCTCTGACTCCCTGATATGTGGAGAAGGAACACAGCTCCCTCTCTAAACCAAGAATATGTTTGGGAGAACCAGTAATAGCCTGGGGCCAAGGCATTGGGGAAGCTGCAGTTTAAGATCCTGAGAACCCAACTCTTGTAAGGGTTATCAGTCACTCTGTGGTTATCAGTCCCAAGGCACTTGAGATGTCCTATGTTCCCCTTTTGAAACATAGCTAGATTAGCTTTACACTTACTTTGTCCCATTATATGATAATTTTTTTCTGACATTGTCCTATTTTCCCTTTCAGGAAAAACTGTATATAAGATGCTATACTTCTTATAGCATCATTTATGCAAGCCCTCTGGACCCCAGCTTCCCTGTCTTCTTCATCCTCTCATCTCCTGGCCCTCTCACTTAAAACCCTGTAATGAAAAATGACACACAGGTTGCGGTCATTAGCCATCCAGTTGAAGGGAATTTCTGGTAGAGCAAATATAGTGTCTTGAAAAAGGCATAAGAGTTTTGAGATCTGACACCAAAGACATTGATGGAGATAAGACCACATGGAAATATTTTTCTGCTATAATTGAGGAGTCTGGATTTTATCCAAATCATCATAAGTTATAAGAGAAAAAAAATATTCAGTTTTAGAATGAGAGTGGTGTGGAAGTTACATGGAGAATGTTCTAGGAGAAGGTTGTTGTCATAGCCAGGTGTGATACCATGACCATCACTAAGTCAGTGTCCTTGAGTTCATCAGTTAGCATGCTTTTAAGTGAGAGAAGATGGAGCCTGAGTTGTCTGACAGGAAGGGATTTATTTTACTGTGTAAATTAAAAGAATGTTAGAACTGATTCCCAGGGTGGTTTAAGTCATAGATTGTCTCATCAGAACTCAGCTTTATACTGTGACTTATCATTTCTGGGTTTTTTCTCATTGTGACTCATCCATATCTGTC